CCAAAGTTAGTCGGATTCATCCTCTGTGAGCCATGTACACAATTTCACGGCAATGCATGTAATAGTTTTTGTAGATATTGCTGCAGATATTTCTGTCTGGAAAGCGTTGGACCGACCAACAGACAGACAGACTGACATTGCTATCTCTTGTACTACACTGCTAGCATGGCTAAAAAATAGTTAAATATATACATTTCAGGGCAGATTAGAAATTTGGCAAATGAGATGAAAAGTTCATCAACAGAAACAGGTACTACATCCAGAGATATCTTCAGAAATTCACACACTACTTCACATTTAAAGCTGTGCTAAATTTAAACTTAACTACTCAGATTACCATAATAAACATATGGGATTAAGAGTGCGATTAAGTCACAGTGAGATGGTGAATAAGAGTGCTGATGAATGCCGCTGGCTGGGATTCAACTTGTCAACATAGTGTTATTTTTTTCTATGCTGTCATTACATTTTCATTATCATTAGTTTTAAAAAGCAGCAGTGTCAGTCGAACCCCACTCATAATCCAACTGAAGCTGTGACTCAACAACGTTTCTGTGTAAGGCTTACAAAGACTGATAATATATGATACTTTGTGGGAGGCTTGCGTTTAATATTTCCAAGCAGATGAAGGATTGTACCAAGAGCACAAAGTGGAGTGATTCATGTTTTCTGTGCAAGGTGGTGGTCAGCATTTTGCTGTTTTTTTACTCCCAGTGACCTTTTCACCCACAACAAAAATGCATCTTGGCTTCAGCCCATTCTGACATCTCAGTTAAAGGAATTCAAAATCAGTTGTAAGCAAATATTTGCTCACCCATTCAACTGAGTAAGTGACGTTTCTGTTTTATGCCTATCTCAGAGAATAATTTAGAGAAGAGGGCTCATTCCTCGTGAACTATAGCTATATTAGTCCGCAGTCGTCCGGGCCAGAGCTCAACAGGGATGATTACTCTGTTTTTCCTGAAATGTCTGATTTGTGGCCAGGCTGGTGAATGATGAACCAGAAAGCAGAAAAGCTTCAAAAGTTGAAGGTACAAGGGTGGGTTCTGATCCAAGGGCAGCTTTGAGGCAATACAAAACAAATATTTTCTTATGCTAGCTAAAATTCATTATAATTAAAAAAACAAAAACCTCTGTGAATGTGTTCCAGTGTAAAGCTCTGAGGGTTTGTCTGACAGCTCCTTCTTGAAGCCAAGTTAGTTTTAGTGTTGTAGTCGAGAACCGCCCAAAGCGAGACCAAGTCAAGACCAAGACCAGAGTTTATCGAGACAAGACCAAGACTTTCAAGGGCTGAGACCAAGTCAAGACCAAGACCGAGGGAGGGCGAGACCGAGTCAAGACCAAGACCAGTTCCCCACATTAATAAAATGTGGAACAAGATCATAGGTAGTTCTCAAATTGATCTGAAACACCTATACATTAAGAGCTGAAATCAACTTAAACATCTTTATTCAACACTCCTTTTCCATGCTTACCATCAGGGGGAGGGGTGGCAGTCGTTAATGGTAACAACAAATTTTTAATAAGCGTTATTGGTTGCATTTGAAGTTTTACATCCAATCAAAGTTAAGATGTTAACAAATAAATCAGACAATGTAAAAGCAATTTATTGATATTCCCAAAGTTATGGTCTTGACTGGTCTTGAAATAAAATCCAGAGTCCTCAATGTTCGAGACCGAGACAAGACCGAGTACAAATGCGGTCGAGTCCGAGACGAGACCAAGACCATCAAAAAGTGATCTTCAGTCTCGAGTTCTACAACACCAGTTAGTTTCTCTTAAATCTTACCCCACTGACCACATCATATCCAAAACCAAGTGCGAAACCTATTCACACATACCTTTCCACGCAGGAAAGACAGATCTCGGCTTCCTATGATGTGCAGCTCCTCTGTTGATTGGTCATTCTGGGGAGAAGACGAAAATGGAAACATGATTCATATTATGTGATTACTGTTTTCTTCTATAGCATAATTGCTGACTTTTGCAATAAATGGTCTGTCAGATTGAGAAAAAGAGTTTTCTCATTCGCATTTACTGTAACTCTAGTGTTTCTCAATGATTTGGCACTATTGTACAGCTCAAAAAAGAACTATCTTCAGCATTAATGTCAGACAAATGCACAAAGGGAGATTTATTTTACAGGGACTATGAATGTCCAATATTATCCTTCACATAAACAAAGACCGGCTTTCTCTGTCCCTACAAGAAACACAGCATAAAGCTTTGAAGAATGACGGCTTTGAGGTTAGATTCGGCCGGTTACAGACTTGTCACTTGGATAAGAGGAGCAATGGCATGGACCAAATCCTGACCCTGGGGGCAGGTCACATGACTCCATCATGACCTGTGTGACTGACTAACAGTGCCACCGCTCACACACTGTCCTCCACGTAGTTTGTTGACTTCAAAATGTAATTATTATGTTTTAATGCTTTTTTCCAGCCTCATTACTTTTTTAATATCTTACCAAATATAAACCAATTATTTTTTTTGATATTCGCATGTATGTATCTCAAATTCCAAATACATTTTTTGAGCTTATAGCCTTTGATTAAAAGTTTACGTTCTACTTAAACCCCTGTGTGCACCGCAGTGCTGTAAAGGGAGAGAAGGAATGTGACTACATACAGAGAAATGTAAATCATAACACTCTGAATGTGCCAAAACACACAAAGGAATACTAATAGACTGTTGTGACAATTGCAAAGCGAAATCACTGTAAACATTACTACGTCATTCCCAAAGTTAATTCCTTGGTTTATACAATCCAGGTGTTAGACAGTGTCATAAGCTGTGTTTCTCTTGGCAGCAGCCACAGCACCAATTAGCAGCCTGGTAATTCTATGACCTGAGCTCTGCAGTCACTACACAATCAATTGTCCTTGAGGTGTCCTGTCTGAACTCACTAAACATGAGCAGCAGTGACACCTGGAGGCAAAAGTCAGGCACAATCATTAGTTAAACAAGGGAAAGAGTCTTCAGTGCATGAATGCAGGGCTGTAACCAAGGATTATTTTGATTATTAATTAACATGTCTGTCATATCACAAATACCCAAAGTGAAATATGATGTCCTAAAATTGCTTGTTTTGTCAACCTAACAGCCCCCAAAACAAAACGATGGAATAAAAAATGAGAAAAACAGGATATCTTCACACCTGAGAAGCTGGAACCAGTAAATAATTGGCATTTATACTCAATAAATTAGAATTTTCTGTCAATTGATTAATCAAATAATCAAGTAACCATCGAAAACAGCTTTTTAAACAACTTTAAAAAAATATGTATATATTGTATGTATATATAAAACATGTGGAATAACTTGGCTGGATTGAAACAGGGGATGTTGCAGACCATAAACCGGCGAACTTAACATGTGAGATATCAGGTTGCCACTAAAATAAATGTTAATCTGGTCAGTCACATTTCATTGCAGATGAATCTATATGATTTGCAATAACCTCTCAGAAAAATGAAACACTAACTCACTCACTCACTCACTCACTTTTTAGTACGTTATGCGGTTCACCTACCAGGTAGCTCTTCAGACGGATGAACTCCACCCGGGTCTCCAGGTACTTGTTGGAGTTGCGGCCGAGGACCTTGATGAACTCCATCAGGTCTGCACAGAACTTGTAGCCTCCCTTCAAGACGCACAACACCATTATGTTGTTGTCCCCAAAGTCGTCCATGATGTATCGGGCCAGACGCTCTATCCTGCAGGAGAAATCCCATCAGAACTTATACAGACGAGCAGGAAACGATTTTCTGCAGGTGTGTTTATGTGTACTTTTACCTGTTCATGATCACCCCATGTGGAATGTAAACACTTTCTATGTCTTCATGGTAGTGTTCAGGGTAAGTGAACAGGTCCAGACTGTGTCCTGGCCAGTCATCTTTTATCTAGGACAGAGAGCTTACTGTTTGGCAGGGAAGTACAGCTCTTTTTAAACTACTCACTTGTGCAATATTTGTGAATTGTGAAGTCCAACAGTTTTCCAAGGTCTAAGAAAAACTATAATCGTGACTGCTACTGGTGTTTCTTTCCATAATTTAGAAAGTTTGCTATGGGAGATCATGTAGAGGCATTTTAAGTGGTTTTACTTTTAAAAAAGTAATTAAAGAAAGCATATGATGAGAGTGTAATTCACTTTGGAAGTAGCTAATGAACTGTTTTGCCAAAAACAAACGCTAAAAATTAGGATTTGTTAATAATAAAATAATAACTTCAAAGAATTCATTCAGAGAACAACACAGAAGATGATATCTTTGTATAACAGCTCCAGTAGCCGAACAAATAGCCACAAAAAAACTCATTCTCTGTGTAAAAATCTGACCTGAATTCAGCACTAGATATTTTGATGTCGTGTTGAACATACCACAATTCCTCTTTTCATCCCGGTGTTGTCCATTTGCAGTAGGTGATTGGAGGTCACTGGAGTAAATATTCAGCAGAGGATACAGGTAGCAGCAACATCACTATAAACTATTCATTCACTATAAATACACAGAAACAGTTTACTGTACGTACACTGGACCAAATAATGAGAGGCTTTCCATCGCCCTCTGAAAAGTTACAGCACAGTAAAAAACGGACGAGAAGAGAACATACATTAGGTTTAGGTTGGATATTCATCTGGGATAAACATCTCCTGCAACACACAATCTATTCATTTAAACCTTCAAGTTACATTTTGCCTGCACATGTGAGCTAGAGCAAACAACTGAGCAACATTTCCAAAGCATTACTTACCGTTTTCTCTTTGCCCTCTTTTCAGCGATCATTCACAAAACAAAGGGTAACAAAAAAAACAGAGTGAAAAGATATCCAAAGAAGTCCTGGTAAGCCACATGGGAAGTGGGATCATGCACGAGTCATTTGCGTAAAAAGGGCAGCGTTGTGTTAGCCATGGAGAATTTACAGGGATAATCAGCTTCATGTGACGCTATGCTGGCTCACAAGCCACTGCAGCAGAATGACAAAAATTAACAAGGTTCAGTTTCTACGCAGTCAGTTTTATTAAGCCAGAGTGACACTGATTTTAAAAGATACTCTCAGTCTACTATTTGCAAAGGAGTTCTCCTAGAAGTTCCATTTTTATGGCAGGAAGCTGACGAGAAAGAAAAAATAAATGAATATTGGCTTGTTATTACCTGGAGCTCTAAAATATAGAGGCTCCACTCAGAAAAACATCATAGTATTTCAGAGAGTACATCACTTCAAAAAAAATTTTTGTCCTACTAGTGGTCACAGTAAAATATCTCAACTATCAACCAGACTGCCAATACATTTGGTATGAATTTAAAAGGTTCCCAGAAGGTCATTCAGAATGATTTTGACAACCCTGTGATCTTTATTTTTATTTATTAACAGTCGGGTCGATGATTCTAATTTGAAATGTTTTAATGTGCTAGACTTTTGTTTCATTGCTCAGATGACGGATCATGAGAATATACGAATAAAGACTTTTACAGAAGCCTGTGTGATTTGAATTGAGGGTGGGAGTCCCAAGACATACAGCACATTACATCTGATTAAGTAAGAGTCGTTTTTATGTCCTAGTTATTGGGTATGTAGACGGTCTTGAACCTCTCAAAGAGGTTGATGTCGTTCTCCAGTTGCTTCATCGCCACCTCGAGGCGCTCCTTGCGGGACTTCTTCGACATGGTGTCAGTGACGAGCGAGAGGCCCTGGTACTCATGCTGCAGCTGATCCCAATTCTTCTTCAGCCTCTGGATAGTAGGACCACACAAGGAAAAGCATCACTGGCACAATAAAGTCAGCCTGATAATGTAACTGTCAGGATTCAAGGCTTTTATATCTCAAACACCGATCAAAGAGGTATTGTCTATGTTGTAGAGATTGCACACCGTGTTCTATTAATTCTGATGGGTACTCTCCAGGCCTCTTTTTTTACAATAACCTGATTTACTTGGACTGAATAAAACTATTTTCTTATTGACTTCAAAGACATGAAATCATCACATTCATTTCCTGTACTCCTCCAGTCGTTCCAGATGTCCGTATGATCCCCCTGCTGTTTCAGTGAAAACAACTGCCATTGTGCCATGTGTTCGAGTACCTCCAGGATGTCTTGTCGCTCCTCGTCAGACAGGTGTTTCATGGCTCCCTGCTCCCTCTGTTCTTTCACAAAGTTGTCGTACTCCTCCTGAGCTCTCTGCTCTTCTTCATTGCGCTGCTGCAGGTACTCAGGTACTTCTCCGTAATGCTGAAAATAGGAACTGGAAACTTAAGACCCTTTATTCTAGGTTTTTGTACGTGCTACCATCTTTCCCTGACGTTCAAGGTGTGTGTAACAAATTTAAAATTTAAAACGTTTCTCACCTTTTTCTTGATGTACTTCGGGAGAAGTCCTGACTTCTCAAGGAGCTGCTTGTGTCCTTTGCTGGAGTCCACACAGGCGGGCTGGGGCTTCATTGGCACGGCTGTGGCTGTCTTTATAAAGTCTCTCTTGGTGCGAATGCCCATTAGGGGGTTGTCTGTCCTCGCAGGAACAGCTGGTTTCCTCACAGTGCAGGTGTTACGAGCCTCTTTCAAACACTGTGTCTCTGAAAGAACATACACACATGAAGATAAATAACACAATCACTGCTCAAAAACACTCATTTGTCAAATAGTCTGTAGGAGAACTCACTTTCGGGTAATTTGGGTTCCTTTGATTGCTTCTTGAGGTATTTGTCTGGGGAGGGCACCTCTACTTTGGCTGGTCCCATTGTTCTCATTGCATCTTTGGTTGACTTTTTCTCCAGGACAACTTGTGGCCTATACTTGGACATATACCTTCAGCACATTGGAGAAAAAGATCAGTTCATTTGAAAGTAATTCATTATGGATAAAAAACAGACTGAATGTAAAACTACAATTACTTTCCTTTATTTATTTATCTTTGTTTACAAGAGATGCCAAAATAAAATGAAATAACAGCAATTAAGAGGACGTTTTAAGCAGACTACCAAAATAAAATGCTTCTTATTTAAAAAGATCAAATGTTAGCCAGATAACAGGGGCTAACTTTACTCCCTAATTCCTAAGTGGTTTATTTGTTTCTTCAGAAATTCAAAGCTAAACGCCTTGTTCTCTAGTTAGCCTATGCTAACTTAGATAAAGCTTAAAAGGTTAATTTGACCAAAAATACGTTAACGCAAAAAAAAAAGAAAAAGCTATAACGTTATCTTACTGCACGTTAACGTTACCTTGGTGGTTTTTCAGCATGAACCTCCTCCTTTGGTAGAAGATTGTAGACGCTTTCTGGTGGACGCACAATTTCAGACATTTTGAAGGACTTAAAACCAGGCGAAGGATTAAAAGACACAAATTAAGTTCACCTAACTAGCCAGCTAGTTAACGAGCTAACATTAGCTATAAAACCATCGGCTCAGTGCGGTTTGTTTGACAACACGTCCACCGGCTGGTTACCAGGCAACTGCGGGGACTCGTGTTGCATTTCATGACAGTTGTAAATCATTAAATTTGATGTGTATGAGCTGTCCACGTGTAAAGTTCAGTCGGTGTCTTGGTTTAGGGGCTTCATCGAATTTCTAGTTCTGCAACTAAGGATTAGGTGATTAATTGACTGTAATATCTGACAGCTAATCTATTAGTTTAATGATTAATTGTTAGTAATTTATTTAAACCATTTATTCCATTATGTGCTTGCTAACTAGTTTTCACGCACTCATAGATAATTGCAACAGGCAAAGTGGTGTTCAGTTGTTTCAGCTGCCTTATTATGTTGATATATTATTTTAATAAAATAATACATTATACTTTTTCTAATTAGTTGGCCTGCTTTGCTACTTTGACCCACTTTGCACACTAGCTCTGGGCTGCCTGATTTCTACAAATTATAAGCTGTTACCAAAAAAAGAGATGTGTAAATTTGTTATTGATTATGCCTATGTTTAAATGCATTGGATTATCAGAATTTGAATATAATGGCTATTTTATCTGAAAGCCAGTTGTGCCTTAGATTTCGGAAGTTTATGTTCCCGAGGAGCATTTGAATGCAGCAGAAACTCGTACCAGCCGGCAGGTTCCGCGGTGCGAAAAGTTGGGCGTGTTGAAGTGATTCGCATTTATATCGTTAAATTTCTACGCCCATGCCTAGATTGCATAGAAAATAATCCACGTTACAATGTATGTTTTCTTTTTGCAACGGAGAGCTGGGTAAGCCTTCGACTTCTCATGGAGGAGTCATAAATTTTGACGCTCCCGGGTGACCGTAGTTGTTTTCGAAACCTGCAGAGTGATCTTCCCGTCAAGTATGTGGTACAATAGAATTTGACTTTGATTGTTAAAACCTTAAAACCTTATTGTTACTAGAGACTACTAAAAATATTATCGGGCATGAAGTAACAGAGGACACAACTGAGTGTCTCATTCTTTACACGTGCAAAGTTATGGCAACAACTTGCAGCACTGACTCAAAACACACGTGTGCTAAATGTAAAGGCTAGTCTAAATAATGCAATTTTGTTATAAGTATAACGTTAATGCATTTTAACTGTCCTCTTTCACATTATTAACAGGAGAGGCTGCTGTCATTTGACACCTCTATGGGCTTACTGAATGTAGGTCAGCTTGCACTAAGAGCTGTCAGATGCTACCTGAGTCCCCTTTCAACACCAAAATCATGGCTTTCCACCAAAGCTTCCCTGCCGGGGGGCAAGAACATCCTGCTCATGGGTCCTCCTGGAGCAGGGAAGACCACAGTGGGGAGGATAGTGGCCCACAGACTGGGGCTGCCTGTGATTGATGTTGATGATGATGTCTTGGAGGCGACATGGAAGATGCCTGTTGCTGCCAAGCTGGCAGCAGTCGGCGGGGAGCGTTTCCTGGAGGAAGAAGGCCAGGCTTTGTGTAACTTCTCCGCCTCTGGGTGTGTTGTTTCCTTGACAGGCTCCAACCCTCTTCACGCTGCAGCGATGCAGCACGTCAAAGAGTCCGGACTGGTCATCTACCTGGACGTGAACAGTGAAGACATCATTCAGAGGCTCGCCAGGATGAAGGTGAGCAGGATAGTGGGCCAGGAAGCAGGGGTACCCATGAGGGACATTCTGCGTTACAGGAAACAGTTTTATGAGAAATGGCTTGACGTGAGGGTGCTGTGTGGAACAGGGGACACGGTGGAGGAGGTGGCGGAGAAGGTGCTGAAGGCTGTGGAGAGATATCAGAACCACGCTGCAGAAACCTACGTGTCAACCAGGAATGACAGTGTGGAGTCGTCCAATCAGAAAACATACTTTAGTGATGTGGTGGTTGAAGGTCTGGCCACAGATGGAGGCCTCTATGTTCCCAAAAATGGCTTCCCAAACATTGATGCTCATGAATGGCTGAGACTAGCTGACATGTCATACCCGGAACGAGCGTTAGTTTTACTTGAAAAGTGCATACACCCGTTGGACATCCCTGCTGTGGATCTGAGAACAATGATTTTCAACGCATATGGGTCTAACTTTTCTAGTGAGGCAGTAGCACCTGTAAAACATCTCATCCTCAATCAGTATGTCCAGGAGCTTTTTCACGGCCCCACCGCCTCATTTAAAGACCTCGCCTTGCAGCTGATGCCCCAGCTCTTCGCCTACTGCCTCCCACCCATGTGCAACTACCTCGTCCTGGTAGCCACATCTGGAGACACTGGAAGTGCCGTGCTGAGTGGCTTCAGCAGGCTCAGTGGCGCCGAAAGACACAGGACCGGGGTGCTGGTGTTTTTCCCCGAGGAAGGCGTGAGTGAGATTCAGAAGCTTCAGATGATGAGCTGCAGGGAGGGCAACGCCAGAGCCGTCAGCGTCCTGTCAGACTTTGACTTCTGTCAGAGAACAATAAAGAGGATGTTTGGAGAATCTGGGCTGACGGGGCACCTCGCTGTAGAGTACGGCACAGTCCTCAGCACCGCCAACTCCATCAACTGGGCACGGCTGTTACCACAGGTGGGTTGACCACCGAGTAGGGCTCCATGAAAAGATTACTTTCTATAATAGGGCTTTTTTCACACCTGATATTTTGACTGTGAGAGATGGGCAGTTTGCAAATACACATCATAAAACAAATAAATAATTAATAGAAGACCTAAATACATATAACATACAGAAAATGTCATGCAAATAAAGTTACCATGAGATACAAAGAGGGTGTTGAGGGTCCACCAGAATGGCCTCCTGTTGTCATCTACGCAATAATTCTTCACCCATAACCGGTACTAAAATTGCACGTGCAATATTTTAGAATGCACACTCAGTTTAGTTCTCTTTATTCGGGGTGTTAGTAAATCTTTATAAAATGTCAGTTACAGCTTTATTAGACACAGTTTGCACCTGTAGTGTTTCAGAGCTGCTGCTGTTTTGACACTGGGAAATAAAAAAATATTTCTCACACAATTAATCCTGGTGTTTTGTGTGATGTTTCATCTGTTGTGTTTTTTACCAGATTTATTCTTTCACTTTTTCCCCCCCATTGGTACAGATTGACACAGTTTGCACGATTACACTCCAAAAGTTATGTCTTAAGGTAAACTTTTTATTTTGCAACCTGCAGTATAACACACTTCTCCTCCACTTGCAGGTGGTGTACCATTCCTCATCCTATCTGGATCTATGCAGAGACGGTGTTATCAAGTTTGGGGACCCTGTTGATGTTTGCATCCCTACCGGTAACTTCGGTAATGCCATGGCAGCTGTGTACACCAAGCAAATGGGGGTCCCGATAAGAAAAGTCATCTGTGCGTCCAACCACAACCGCATCATCACAGACTTTATCACCACAGGCGAGTACGATCTCCGTGGGCGGCCTCTGAAGCTCTCCCACTCCCCGGCTATAGATATCCTGAAATCCTCGAACCTGGAGAGGTTTATCTATCACGTTTCAGATGGCAACGGCCGTCTTGTCGAAGAACTGTTCACTCGCTTAGACAGACAGCAGCACTTTCAGGTTCCCGAGCATCTTCTTGGCAGGATACAGCAGGAAGTGCAGGCTGGCTGGTGCTCTGAAGACGACTGCTTGGCCGGCATCCAGAGCGTTCACACACAGACGGGCTACGTCATGGACACGCACACCGCCGTGGCTAAAGTTGTGGCTGATAGGCTGCAGGATGGTTCGTGCCCCGTGGTGCTTTGCTCCACTGCTCACTACGGGAAATTTGCTCCCGCTATCTTCAAAGCCTTACAAATCCAAAGTATTCCAGAGCATCCTGCTGAGCAGCTGAAGAAGCTCGGATCAACTGCATGTGGACCAGAAATACACAGAGACATGATGAAATGCCTGACAGAAAGTGACAGGACGGGACACACCGTCTGTCAGGCAGATTACAGCGTGCTTGTAGAAGAAGTGGAGGGCATGATACAGGACTCCTTCTTGAAAGTTATGTAAGATTTTAGCTTTTGTTGGTGTCCACCTTAAATTAATGTCAGCTTAAAATTCAATTAATTATTTGCCAAAAAGTACATTCCTCATGTGTCCTTTTTGTATCACGTACTCTTCATTCTTCCAGTGTATTGTAAGCACATTTAACAAATAAGGAAAAAAGGTGCAAGACGTTCAAACAAAAATGAACAATGAAAGAAAAAGTGGATTTAAAAAGGCCAAAATCCTGCCTGAGCCTGCGGGATTGAGGGAAAAAAATTAACAACACATTGACTCTGATTATACTGTAACAGAGCTCTAAACTGTTTTCTAACTCGATTTAAAGCCTATTAATTACGCAACATTTCTTTACATCATCATCTAGAGCCCAGGCCCACTAGATGGGGATGTCTGCCTCTTGGCCACTGCCTTGCGGACACACTGGTACCAGCGTTGCAGTAACAGTATATGGGTATCACTGTACAGGGAATTATTTACTGCCCAAGGGAGAAGGTTAAATAGACTAATGCGTGTGATCAGAATCTTTAATCAGGGAGAGAATCAGCTTCCTTAAGTTAATTGTGTGACGACCGTGCCCAGGCACTAGGTGTCCTGTGTCTTTTTGTCTGCCTTGTCTTGCAGGATGTGGTTCTGGGAGGTCGTCATCAGCTGCATGAGCTACACCTGGGCCCTGAGTGGTTGGGAGCTATAAAGCTCTCCACCTTTTTGTCACTCTCTCTCTGTCATTGCGGGTGCAGCTGTTGTTTGCTTTTGTGATGTTACTGCCATTTCACACACATACATACTAACATGAATGATACTGATTTCCAGGTTATTATCTTTGTTCAGTATCATTTCATAAAATAAATTTACTTTCTTCATATAAACTCGTCTTGTTGCCCATCTTTCTCGCAGCCCAAGAACCTGTGACAATTG